TGTCAAGAACATGTGGAAAAGGATTAAATGCAGTTAAGCTTTCTACAAAGTTCCTACATTTTTTAAAAAATCAATAAATGAATAAAATGAAGCTATCATGAGATAAAGAAAAAAAGTGATAAAAGACAGAAAACAGATTTAAGAATACAAAATAATTTTTCAAATTCCCGGCAAGATGTGTCCATGGTCCTCTAATATATACTTACTTCACAATAGCCCAGGAAAAGGGAATGCAAGATGGTATTAACTACTTAAGGTAGTTAAAAACAAGATAGGAAAATAAAAGATAGAGATAGGAGACCCACTAAGTGATTGGGAGACAAAATGATAGATAGCATTCAATGCGAACACATGCAAAATAATGAGGAGATTACTGGAGATTACAGCCATCTATACATACATTGTAGTGTAGTAAATGACCTCTTAGCACACTGGAAAGATCTTGGAGTGACTGTAAATAGCTCTATGAAAATGTTGGCTTTGGTTTAGCCACAGTCAAAAAGTAAAAGAATGTTAGAAATTACTAGGAAGCCAAAAAAAGAAAAAAACCCCAACTTTATCAATTTGCAGTATGCCATAACTATCAACAGTTTGGGTTGTTCCCTTTGAATTAACAGGAAAACAGTAGAACCATAGCAGATAGAGAAGGAAAACAAAATGGAATAGCTTTTCAGATAGAACAGTTTTCTAGTTAAGAGCAGTAAGGACTCTTCAGCTGAAAAAAATGTGATCACTGAGGAAATTATTATTTCTTACAATAAAGAAAAACAAGGCATCAAAAAAAAGAACATGTTTAAAGCAAAAAAAAATACTTTTTCACACAGTGCATAATTAAATTTATAGAGCTCTGCAATTTGATGCCATGGATTCAAAGAATACAAATGGACTCAAAAGCATCCAGATTCATAAAACAAAATTCCATCTAAAACTATTGGACACAAAAAGTATAACAGCAGATTTAGGAAGTCCCTAAGCTGCTGTTTGTTGGAAGCTGGAGGGTTTTATTGCAGAAGTTTCTCTGTTCACATGCTCTATTCTTATCCTCTTACCCTAGGAATCTATTATTGCTCACCACCAGAGCCACAGTACTTCAGAAGATGAACTTTTCATCTGGCAAGTTCAGCCAGAAAACCATGAGAACGTTCTGTTCATTAGACATATCTACGGTGAAACGTTCTGCAGCTAGTAACTTTAGGTCTCTGAACTGTGATAGCCCAGTACCCTTTTTCTTTTTCAGGGCATAAGGGGAGAGTGTACAGCTGTACAGAAAATGAGTAATTCAACCTTTTTGTTTCCCTTTTTTTTTAAATAGAACCAAGACCTTCTATGCTGGAGACCATCCTCAAAAGCTTTTCTCCTTGCACGACTTAAACCAAAAAGTGGCATTAGCCCTGCAGTTCTCTCAAAGGTAAGGCTGGACTTTGCAAGTAAGGCATATAACCAATAGCTCCCACCCAAAGTGTGGGTCTTCATCCCTCCCATTCGTTAGCTATGCATTCCCACCCTCTTTTATCAGCACTGGTACTCATCTGATTCAGCCATGTAGGGAGCTGGTTTCATGACTCAGACTGGAAAAAAAGCTAAAAAATTAAATTAAAAAAAATAAAATATGATTCTTTAAGTCCTTGCATCAGTCTCATCATCAACTTAGATACGTGCCAGCAGCAGGAGCAGGACAGAGGCATTTCAGCCAGAGCCCCCTGTTCGCTTAGCTTCGTTGCTACACTCTAACAGTGCAATGAGAGCATGCAGGCCCCAGATACCTTCTCCCAGCCCCAAGCACTCTTGGAGATCTTAAACTTTTCAACTATACAACAGCCTACTAGAGAGACAGTTGTACCAGTGAGGCACTGGGACCATTTGGAGTCAGTAAGACATAGAACTTCACTTCCACAGGCAGAGCTAGCTCTATTTACAAGGAAAAGGTTTTACTAGTACAAGGGGCAGCTTACAGTGACATGGCAGTGCCCGCAGCGGGAGATTTTTTTGCCAGCATGTCTATACTAATAAAGCACCCCCAAAGTGGACAAAAGTATTCCAGCTGTACTTATCTAGCTCACTAAACATCAGGCAAACATCTAGAGGGATTGTTTCCCTATGCTGGAGCACTGGAACGCACCTTTGGTAAGACCCAATGTATAACATTGCAAGGGGTTCTTTTAGTGGTATGGGTCTATCTGCTGAAACTTTTTTTTTTAAATTAAACATCCCCATTTATCTTAATCCTTTATTTTACAAAAAAAAGCCAAGTACAATTTTAATTCGACCAATACTTAGGTGTTTGAACTTTCTGTCATCCACAAAACTGACGCAGAGGTGACAGACCCTTGGAAAAGCAGATCTAAGTGTGCTCATTTCTTTATCTGGAAAAGTGGGACTTGTCCATCCTGTTATTAATATACATCTAGAAAAATAAAGTGACTATTAAATGTCAAAACAGGCATTTGTTTTAATTATGCACAAAAAGCTAGCAGTAATAGTTATACAGCTGTATCTGTCAAAAGCTATAAAATGATAGAATGGAGTTTGCTTCTGTAATTTATTTCTTGCATCTGTGCACTATGATAATGACCAGATATTAGTTTTTCCAAAGGAATCTCTTTACACAAAACAAATCATGCTTCCTTAATGGGCTATCATTTATTGCTCCTTCTTTGCTGTTCAATCTGTGGCTCCACATCACATTTACAATTTTGTACTCAAATTTCACTCTTATTAAACAATAAAACAGCCCTGATTCCTTTATGACACCTCGTATAGTAAAGAAGGTGGACAATCACACAGTCACAAACTGTGTCATAAAAATATATGCGCAATCAGAAATCCCGTCATTTCCTCCTTCTGTTCAAGCAGTGGAGGGCTCCTGCTGACTCCTAAACCATCCTCTCGCAGTTCTCAATGCTGACTCCTGCCTGCTTCCTCCAGGTACAATCTCCCTTCCCACTCACTCCCAGGCTTAGTCTTTTTAAGTAGCCTCTTAGCAAATTTCTGTGTTCTTACCCTTCCTCCATAAACTCCTGCTCCCAGTTTCTTTCTGCCCAGAGACTCAGTTCTTCCCCTAACCACATCTATTCATCAAGTGCTCTTTACCTCCATACCACTGATTTCTCAACACCTTCTTGACCAGACTCTCAGCCTCTCTCCATGCCCTTCTTATGGGTCCCTGTCCCTGAACATGCTTCCATCCCTTTGACCAGACCCTTTACACAGACCCCTTGCATTCACAAATCCCAAACTCTTGCCCATCCCGATCCCCGATTCCCTTGGATATTACACCAAAATTGAAGCCCAATCTCTTGAAAGCTGCTGTTGCGTTCTGAATAAGGGGACATAAGAATATCTCCTCAACATTAAAATTGGGTAATCTCTTTTCCATGCTACTTGTACTCTCGGTCAGAGGTCATAGGGGAGCACAGAAAAAACAACAAAACCCAAAACACTTGTTCCAGATGTAGACCTAACACAAAGTCTAGGCCAAAGTGTGTGCAGTGCAGGAGGAACCTCTTAAGTATACAGCTGTCAAAAATCTAACTCCAATGAGTACATCGAAATTCTTCTTTCCGACATATGTAACACAGGCAAATATAGAATGGCATTAGGAATGGAAAAAGGCACATAACTAAAGAGTCAAAACTACCCTTTTGTAGAATCTTGGGAAGAAGTTTTGTGGTATTTTAACATGCGAAAGCAATACAGTCTTCCCTATTCTCATTTTACAAAAAGGCTGGACAGCTTTTCCTTAAGTTTTCCAGAAATAAATCAATCTGAGTTACTGGGAACAAAAAGGTAATCTATATTATAACAAGGTCTGAAAAAGTCACAACAGAAAACAAAGTTTAAGGATATGTGTAGACAATTGTAACTGAAAAGGTTAAAGGGGTTTCAGATATTATCAGCCCTTTTTCTGGAGATGAAATGTGGTAACTAATTCTCTGATGGCCCTTAGTCTAATATAGTAACACTCATACAGGTAAACTTAAGTTAAACTACCTTTATGGATGGTTTAAGCAAGCGTGGTTTCTCCAGGACACATATATGCTCAGTTCAATCAGATCTCCAAGTTGAGAGACATCACTCCAAGCTGGGAAAGATATCTTTATCTTGAAGTGTGTTAATATGATCCTCTGTCATAACCTTACAAGGGAAAGTGTCAGGAAACCTGTGTAATATTTGGTATAAACAATCCAACTGTAGTAATGCTATTTCTTTTGTGCCTGGGCAGATAAACAAATAATACACAGTGTAGACACAGGAAAGGGATTTGAGCTTTCCTGCAGCAACAAGAATACAGAGGAAAAACTGCCCATTCTTGTCAGACCTCTGGACTTCTTAAAAGCCCTAATGACCTGATTTGATCTAATTAGCAAGGAGGGAGAGAGTTAGCCTTGAACTATGGCATAAAATCAAAGTTCAAAAACATGGGGGATTTAAGTCTACTAATAACAAACCAAATACAGAGGCTTCTTAAAGGCAAAACACAAACAGAAATTATGTATTACATTATTAATCTGTTAAACACAGGAACATACAGGACTTCAGTCCAGTAACACATGCCAACTTAAATACAAGACTTTCTTGTTATAGGAGCCTCATTTTGCCCAGAAATTCCGTCCAACCTAGAAGCGTGGGAGAGAATCCATGTTATTTTGAAACTTCATAGTTCAGTACTCTTCTTAGATGGTAAATTCTTAGGTGACAATCAACTATTTTGAGTAATGCAATTTTGGAAATTGGCCCCTAACACTGAGGAACTGCCAGTTAAATTCAGGAGAGCTATGAGAGATTAAACCCATTAATATCTATAGAACATGACATTTGATCCACAAACAGGCATTTTTATCACACAGTTCGCCCCTGTACAAAAAAAAAAGACAAACGAGTAACAAGTGCTTTAAATGAGAAAACAAGCAAGCTAAGACTGAAAGTATGCTGTTTTATAAAGTGACAGTAACTATTCTAAGAACATTTCTTTCTGCATGTCGCTATCAGTTTTTCCTTACCATATATTCCATATTGGAAGCTGGTGGATACACCTGACCCCGTAATTTATTATGAAGATCCAAGATACTCTGCATATCACTGTCTGTGATAGCCCTTTTCCCTCTCTGCTTGGCGATCCACCACTCACCATCTTCATCCATGTACTTTTCCAAAAGTTCCTCTAAGAGCGTGGCATTGGGAAGAACCATTGCAGAAACTGCTTGAGCTATGAATAGCAAGGTAGTTACTCTGAGCCATTCCTGTACTACATACTTCATGATGAATGATCTCAAAATGTTCAGGAGTTAGCTCCAAGACAAAGTCTTTCTTCCAGATCTGTTGGCTGTAAATGCATAAGAGAGAGTAATGTAATTTGGAGGTTGAAGTACTGGCCTGTGTGAACTTACTAAGCAACAAAACCTGTAGTTTGTACGGAGTTTGCCACTGTTGTTTTAGGGGGAGAAACCAGGATGCTACTTTTTTTTTTACTCTACTAAGTATACACCATGGATTTGGGAAGATGGCTTATCTCCAACCTCATGAACTTCAGTCTGTTCAACTGGTTTTATATAGTACACTGGCATGCGCATTTCACTGCCTGCATGCAAGACAGCATGCTTTTCCTATCTACTTAAAAGGAGCCAGACATCAATGAAGATTAGACTGCAGATAACGTCTCCCAGTATTGGAATTTAAGAACAAAAAGGAGTTAAAAGGCTTGCATCCATTGCCAAAATGGGAACTGAAAACCACAGTGAAGTCGATAAGAAATACCCCCTCTTGGTGCATTTCAAAATACGACTTTGACTGAAGCTTTTGTTCTAATAAAACTAAAGGTAGTCAACTCGGACAAGCAAGTGGGGGGCGATGGGGTTATCCTATTCACCAAACAAAGGAAAGCACAGATAGCTCTCAGAAGTAGCACCACTTCCAAGAACACAGTATTCCGACACCGCCTATTACAGGACTGAGTGCTTTAGGTAGGAAAGCCACGCTCGCTCCCTCACCCTGGGTGAAAGAGCGTGCAGCCCGCCACGCCGGCCGCGCCGGACCCGGCCGCTGCGAGGGGAACAAAAAGAGGCGACGGGGGCAGAACCGGGCTC